TTCCTTTACTCCCCAAAGGCCATGGCCTGATTGTGGGTTAGGAAGAAATACAGCAATTTGGGATTATGGACAGATAAACCAGAGTTATCCTCATGAGCTGATGGTATGTCATCATGTATTTCAATCTTGCAGATATGAGTGTGGACTGGGATTGTGGAGGCAAAGTTCAGCAGATCTGGCAAATAATTTACAGTGTAGAACGATCATCTTTATTGAAGAATGTCACCATGTAGACAGGGGAATTAGGGCAAATAAACCCTGGTGATTTATAGGTTACCCACCAGTCAGCATTAAGGGAGGAGTCAGCAGACTGTGTTTTATCTGCTTCCCAAGACACTGGGATATGTGCTAAGGAGATAGAGGGTATTTTTGGTGTGCTGCTAGTGCTTTCCTTTTAACAGACCCTACCCTGGTGTAAGTAATTGGCCAGTTAGCAACCTTGTGCATACAGCTGGAAAGGGCTGCCTGCCACCACAGGCAGCAGCACACCCTCAACAAGGTGCCCTGTGGAGGCCCACCAGCACCACGGGCACAAAAAGCACAGCTGGGCATTGCTTCCCAGGTGTCTTTGTCATGCTTGGAGGTACTTCCTTAGGACACAAACCTGTTGCTTTAATACCTCTAGTTTTGCAACTCCATGCTCTTCTCAGTTAGCAACCAGTTGTAATTACCATCACCTGATATGGAAAGACAACTTTAAAGTGTAATTGGAAAAGTAGAAGTTGTGGATACCCCCTCCCTGGAAGTGTTCAAGACCAGGTTGGACAGGGCTTTGGGATCTCGATTTTGAAGAGCCTTTCCAATCCAAACAATTTTATGATTGTATGTTTTTTTGTGCTAAAACCAGTGACTGTGTATGGAAAAGCCACTAAAATGCAGCTCTTCCAAGGTTTTGTGCCTTCTAAGGAGAGAGGGGCACACGCAGAGGATAAGAAAAACAGGAGAGCTTTGGTTTAGATTCCTGAGGACCAGGAAGAAAGATAAAACTATTCGGGCCACTAGAACACAGGCATTGCTTGGTGCCATGCTCCAGGCACTGAAGGTCTCTGGCACAGAGTTGGAGGAGGCTGTGTGGGTGAAGCAAAGTCTGCTTGTTGTGCCACAGGGAAACATTTTCCTTTCCTAATGAAAAAACCCTGTGCATGGGCTCCATGGAAGAGGATTTCTGAACCCAAAATAAGCCACAAACATGATGCTCCATAGATTACTTTTAAAAATCTTTTTAATGAAGAAATAATTCCATTCCAAAATATAGACACACAATTAAATAGTTTAATCACTTCAAAATATAACATGTCCCCAGTAGGTTCCAACACACACACACACAAAACAATACTTAACAGCAATACAAAAACCCCATACAATAGCAGTTCTGTTACAATACCAATGACTATTGTGACATCTTTAGTGTCTCTGTATCTGTCTCAAGTGGTGTCAAGTACAGTAGTTTTAAAAATGTCTTACAATGAGTAGCATCAAGATGTAACTCTTCATAGGTTGGTTGTTTTGTTGTTGTTTTTTAATGTGTGTGGGTTTTTTTTTTTTTTTTTTTGGTTCAAAGGTAAAAATGCCCTTTTGTCTTCAGGACACATTTGTTGTTCACAGCTCTGTCTGCTGAATTGAACCAACGTGATTACAGCAACCCAAGGTTGCAATATTTACAAGGTCTATCTACAGCAATTGCCAAGAACCAATAAGGATGGGAGAAGATGGCTGAAAGTAAAGATGGACACACTTATGATAAATTATGATGCAACAATTTGGCTCATGCATATAAGAAAATACGTATTATATCACAACAAAGGCCACACACCTTTTTATGCAGCTTAGTTAACATTACTACTTACAGACAACCCATTCTCCACCTTCACTTTGGACATTCGAGGACCCTAAAATCTTCACATCCCTGTCTCCTGATTCCAAACCACTGGTTTCCCTCCAGTGACAGTAAAACCACCCGGAATTTGGGCAGCTGTGGACGGCCACTGGTAGTTCAGAAAAGGCCCATGCCAGGGACCTCTTCTGTAACTGTTTATTTTAATGACCACTAACCACAACCAAAATAATATTCAACAAGCAGACAAAGACCAGCTGGGTGAAAATGCAACCAGCTTAACAGTTGGAAAATGCTTAAAATAGGTATTCGGAGAGTCAAGTAAGAGGTGCTTCATCTCAGAGCTCCAGGGCATAAGAACCCAGAGCTCTGCTGGGGATCACCTTGTTGACATGAGGCTGAGAGAAAGGCGCTTCATCTGTCAACTTGTTTTCCTTACTCCTTTCTTACTCTGAAGCCCTGGCAATGGATTTATTCTATTGCATATATTTTAAGCATAGAGATAATGAGCACGCAGACATTAAGATGATGGGAGGGATCTATCACTCTGGGTACAGTTAAACATGACACAGGTTGAGTTAGTCAGCCACTGCATGTAGCTGTGTTCTAGCTTGTTTTATCTCTGTTCAGAAAATGCTTGCCTGGAATCCTGAGCTGACAGCAAGATTGACAGCTTCTCTGGAGTAGCATTACACATGGAGTGCTAGGCACTAGTGGAGGCTCACCCATTCCTGAGAGGAGGTTGGAGGAGGGGGCATGGGAGGATATGGTGCCTGCCTTGCCAGGATGGCACATACCTCAGGAGCAAAGACCAGTGATTGCAAAAGTGAAAAGCTCACATGAAGATATCTGGATGCCTTTGGATGCATTTGGATGTCTCAGACCAAGCCCAGATATGCGAGGAGATGCGGACAGGAGATCTGCATACGCAATAGTACAATATGAAAGCGAAAAATGGCAGCAGCTCTTTCATACAGATACTCATCCTCTAACACAGTGCCCAGGGGAACAGCCATGAGCCCAGAGAGTGCATGCAAACAAGTAAACTTACTGGGTCGAGCCACACAGCAACCTCACATAGATACAGCAGCGCACATCCACGTCACCATGAGAGCAAGGACAGACAAACCATGTTAGCCTGCTTTAGATGGGTAACTAACTCACCACTTGCTGTAGGCAAACTGTGCTGGTGTGAAATGTCTGTATGAAATGCTTCTGTTTTCAGGGCTGTTAGTGTCACTTCAGGTCAGCCAGATACTGGAAGCTGCAATACTGTATTGGGGCAGTCGAATGACATCAGCACAGAAGTCGTCCCAAGCTAACACACTGTGCTACTCAGGAGAGAACCCTGCACGGTGCTGCTGCCCAGCTTCTGGTCTGGCTGCTCCTGCGCTGGCTCTGATTTCTCTGCATGGCAGTGCTACGTGCCACACAGGTGTCAGCTTTAGTTTTCCAAGCTGTGGGGAGGACATTCCAGCTGGTTTGTGTCAATCCCTGCTCAGGAGTTACCTGCAGGTTTGTAGCCACAGCCGAGCAAAACACGATTTAGCTGCAGTCTCACTGCCTAATCCGACATGACCAGGTAAGTCCCCTTTCTCCTGAAATGCCTCTATGCTCGAAAAATACTAAACCAGACAAAACTCCAATTCTGGTGCTGTATGCCTGTCCTTTCGAAGAAACCCACTGTTTCTCTTGTGCTTTTCACCGACAGCTTTTTCTCCATCCAGCTCCGAAAGAGTCTCACTACACGTTTCCAAGAGTGCATGCAGAACATCTGGTGGCTGGCTAAGGCAATACACATTCAGAAATCAAAAGAGAACAGTTGCAAGCGCACTTTAAGCCTGTACATTTAAAGCTGAAGGCCTCGAAAGTAACGTCATGGGGACGGGGGAGGAGAAGGGGCAGAGAGATGGAAAGAGCCAGTTTGTGGAACACATGCTTACTCAAGCTAAAACATCAATGAAACGATACCATGGAGGATTATACGTAACATCAGTCAGTTCAGGGATCTTATGGCACCTGTGGTTTATAAACAGCTTTAGCAACGAGTATTTCAAAACATAGTTCACAGTTTTAAGAAGATCTGTGCTGATTTAAAAACTAGATTCTATATCATTTGAATGTCACCTTTTGTCTATGATATCTATTTGGAAAAAAAATATTTACACTAACTTCTATGGCTGATTTGTTAGATTATTTTGAAAGAAACATTCCTAAGTTACACGTTAGCCCTAAAATTAGATAATTTTATTATTATTAATAATTATATTATTATTATTTTAGTAAGTCTTAATTTAAAGACTTGGAAATGATTTTCAAATATAGTCTGGTATGTTGTTTTTTGGGCTACTAGATATATACACTCAGGAGTATAATCATTCAGTGTTAAATGCATAATTGTAGCATTTTTTTTTCCTCTGTGGAAAAAATGTACAGTGTATAGTAAACTGATCTAATAAAATCTCAAAGTATTCATAAATCAAATTTCTAGCTATAAACAGTATTCTCATTGTAAACTGAACAGGTTCAATATCATGTGCAAAGGGTTTACGTGAGTTATTAATACTGCCCTTCTTTGTAACAGCAGTAGGTGTGTCAGTCTGTTTTCTTCACTGGTAATGAGCCATGTTACAGAAGATGTAGCTAATATAAGTTAGCTTTAAACAAAGGTCTTGTCAAAAACACACATCTACAAACTACAACTCTTAGAACAAAAGTACTGTGCTACAGTCCTCAGAACGTAGTTATGGGGTTTTTTTTGTCAAGAGATGCTGCACCTCTTGGTTCCACTCTTCTGTCAAATTTGCAGCTGAGTTTTCTTCGTCGTCTGTCCGAAAGCAGCTCTCCTCATCATCAGTTCTTACGTAGCTCTCGTTGTCTGTCTGACTGCAGCTTGCCTGTTGAGAAATGTTTAGGGAAGGTTTTTAAGGAGTGCTGGTTTAAGATGGAAATGATTTTCAAATATAGTCTGGTATGTTGTTTTTTGGGCTACTAGATATATACACTCAGGAGTATAATCATTCAGTGTTAAATGCATAATTGTAGCATTTTTTTTTCCTCTGTGGAAAAAATGTACAGTGTATAGTAAACTGATCTAATAAAATCTCAAAGTATTCATAAATCAAATTTCTAGCTATAAACAGTATTCTCATTGTAAACTGAACAGGTTCAATATCATGTGCAAAGGGTTTACGTGAGTTATTAATACTGCCCTTCTTTGTAACAGCAGTAGGTGTGTCAGTCTGTTTTCTTCACTGGTAATGAGCCATGTTACAGAAGATGTAGCTAATATAAGTTAGCTTTAAACAAAGGTCTTGTCAAAAACACACATCTACAAACTACAACTCTTAGAACAAAAGTACTGTGCTACAGTCCTCAGAACGTAGTTATGGGGTTTTTTTTGTCAAGAGATGCTGCACCTCTTGGTTCCACTCTTCTGTCAAATTTGCAGCTGAGTTTTCTTCGTCGTCTGTCCGAAAGCAGCTCTCCTCATCATCAGTTCTTACGTAGCTCTCGTTGTCTGTCTGACTGCAGCTTGCCTGTTGAGAAATGTTTAGGGAAGGTTTTTAAGGAGTGCTGGTTTAAGATGATGCTGCTCCACACGGGCAGAACAAATAAAGCCTCTGCCTACTGTTTCATTGAGAGAGAAAAAAAGAGGGGTTGGCCACTTCCTGTGGTTATTCCCGGAAAAGTTAAAAAAGTGAAAAAGCCATTCTTCCAAGGTGAGCCATAGGAATTTGAGCTCTAAACAGAAACTTATAGGGCATGTGGGAAACTCTTTGTACAATGGGTAAGAAGCCTGTTGCCTGCTCTGCTGTAGGACCCTGGGGTAACTCAGTCTGCACTGACACCGATTTGCAGATGTTCCCATCTTCCCTTCCATTTTACCCTTCCAGGTTGCACTATAAATAAGAATATTGGTAGCAAACCCATGGATTATTCCCCTTGGGCACCGTGCTCAGCCACTCAGTTGAGAGTCACTCACTCTCATAACCCTCCCCTCACGTGTAAATGTCTCACCCTTGATTTACGTGGCTGGGTATGTTTTACTGTGTCTAAATATAAATGTAGTCAGTTAAAGGTATCATTCTGGGTGCTATAGCTCATAAACAGCCTAATACCCTGGTGCACTAGTTTCTCCTTGGTATTCCTCCATATCCTAAAGCATCAGTATCTGAAATTCCTGTATCAGAGGCATCAAAGTTTTAGCCATTAGTAGAATATGCTTCACAGATGACTGCTGCTCTTTCTTAAAACTAGAGTCAGGTAATGTCGCAAACTTCTGCTTTTTGCATATTTATTATAAAGGCACTATTTACACACTTGACCCTTTCCAAATTAAGGAGTTCATTTTTTTCTCTTGTACTACTTCAGACAGAAACCAATTTGGATTGTATAAGATCTGATAATAATGGCATAAAAGACCAAATCCTACCGACATTAATTCTTTTCTACTAATTTCAGGCATAAAGTTCATCTGTAAGATGAGAGATAAAATGCAAATTATCTCAGCAAAAAAGAGTTAAATTAAAGCTGATGAATGAAGAAAGGTCAGGTAGTTTAGCTTGCTTCTTCTCCTTCCTGACATAATTTGATTGTATTAATTATTCAAACACAACTGCTTCCATCTGATTCCTTAATAGCTAAGCATGCCAAATGCTGTCATGGTCTTAATTTAGTATCTCCTTGTATCAGGCAGTTACAAAAAAGCTAACATTAACATTTTGTTGATAAATGGAGTGGAAACCTGCATTGCACGTCTAATGAGAGGTTAATGAAAATTTTTTGAGGTACATTTTAAACAAGTATTTTAAAAAAAATTGGACATGCATCTACACCACTTAAATCTGCAAAATAATTTGGAAATCTTGGTAAAGTAACATTGTGCTCTTCACAGATCAGCCAAAAATGCACATGAAAGGCATGGAAGAGGTCAGTTCTCAGCTGCCTGCAACTGATTTGTAGTGAATCAACTGTAGTTATGTAAATATAGGTACATCTCATATTTCTTGATGGTATCATTATAAACCACAAGAGCAAAGTATGAGTGGCTTGTGAACCACTGGAGGCATTCAGATGCATTGATAGTACTGTAAGTATTTGGGTTTGTTTCAAATTTTCTGGATAAATTACTTCTCTTCAGCAGAGTGCAGAGTGTTATTCTAAATTCTCTCAAGGCTTCTCTCTGTTCCACAGCCAGCACTGGGACAGGGAGATTTTTATAAAAGAAATAATGAGTATTAATGAGCCTCAGAGCTCCAAATTCATTGCAGCATTCTGGAAATGTCATAATTAATTCTAAGTTAAGACTCATATGATTTGTCATGTTATAAAACTGTTTCTTGACCTTTTTTGTAACTTAATCCAACAGGTTCTTTTGTGTTACTTATCATTCAGCGATTTTCAAAAACCATCCCTACCACTTGTGTAATTTTAGAATTAAATTCACAAAACCAAAGCTGCTTCTTCTCAGTCCCAGTTCTTCTACAGCTTTTTTACGCCTACATGCTAAAAAGGGGAGGACTTAAGGAGAAAAATAGAGAGGAAACCTGAAATATAGCTGCATGAATGTAGCAGACATTTCTGAAAATTACTGTGCTATCAGCCTGCTGTTGTTTTCAAATGGAATGGTCCTCATAATGCTGTTTTCTATATATTTGTTCAGAAAATACCAAAAAGACATAGTGAATCATTGGGTTGTGCTGACAGAGCACGACTTAAGGATGTGAGCACTTCATCCAGTGCCTGTACACTGCTGCTTCACCACTGCATCCAAGACGTAGGAGGAAGAGGCTGAAGAAACCGGGTTTGTTGGGGCTGGGGCTGAGGTGGCAAGGAAGCATCGGGTAGCAGCTATTTGAGAGGTAGTTACAAGGACAACAAAGCCAAAATCTTTCTAGTGCTGGTGAACACAAAAAGGACAAAAAATGCAATATGTATTTTGGGAAGTTTGGGCTGGACACGAAGGGGAAAAAAACTCAAAAAACATGAGCATGGTGGCACTTCACTAGAGGATGATGCCCACAGAGCTGGTGAAACCTCCATCCGTGGAGGTTTTCAAGTCTTTGCTAGGCAAAGCCATGGCTGACATGGTCTAGTGCTGGAGCTAGACCTGTATCAGGCAGGAGAGTGGACCAGATGACCTTCTGAGAGCCCTATCAATCCATGCACACACACCACTGTGATCTCTTGAGCACGAATCCCACACTAGGAATGAAACATGGTGCACGAGGTTTAAAGGCAGCCGGTCAAATCTGAGTAGCAGTTTGGGATCCTACAGACAAAGGAAAGGGAGGATGTAGCATGGCTGGTAAAGGTGACCTCAGGCAGTGGGTGTAGCAAATCTGAAAGCCAGACAACCATTACCTGTGGGTTAGTAACCTGACTTGGACCCTGGGCTATGGATCCTGTGTCCCATCTTTCTCAAATGTTAAATGGCCAGGTCCATGTTGCAAAGGGCTGAAAATGTCAGTGAGCAGTGAAATGCATGCTAGCTCTAAAATGTTATTTCCTTCCCAGAAGAAGAAAAATAAACCAACAGAGATGCAGGGCAGCTGTGTCTTCACAGCACTTGCACAAACCACCTGTGCCCTTCAGGCACTGGAACAGGCTGACCAGCCAAGTGGTGGAATCATCAGTTCTGGAGGTATTCAAAGAAACGTGCAGATGTGGCACTTCAGGGCACACTCTAGTGGGCATGGTGGGTTTTTTGTGGGTTGTGTGCTGTTGGTTTGGGGGGTGTGTGGTTGTGGGGCACTTTTTTGATGTTGTTGTTTGGGTGGGTTGTGTTGTTCCCTTTCCCCACCCCTGGGTGGGAAGTTGGATCAGGTGATCTTTTCCAACCATGATAATTCTGTGAATAAATAACAATTTAACAATGCATTAATATAAAAAAAGTTGAAGAGGCTTGGGGTTTCTGTGTTTGAACATTTTCCACCCATTTCAATACAAACTTTTCAGTTGCCTTTGCAATGGAAAAATATCACCCCTGGCCACCCAAAGTCCTGTACACCACAATTTGTGCAATATGGCTTAGAGCCAAGTGAAAGGGTTTGGAGTGGGAATGGAACTGAGCCTTCATCTTAATTTATTACATGTTTTTGTCAACACAGAGAAAAAGTGTCACAGTTAAAAAGCAGATAACAAAACCTCTAATAAGCACTCCTCCCTCTGCTCCCTCTCAAGAGGATGGTTTAGGTTTGATTTTTATTGGATTTTCACACCTCCTTTGCTTTAGAAAATCTAGGAAACTGTCGGTCTCGTGGGAGCATGTCCACTGCAGAAGTTGATAGGTCATAGTTGAAAATGACAACTTTTAAACCACTTTCAGGGATAGGGGCTTTCTGCCTCCACTGGCCATCCTTGGCCAAAAAGCAACTGCTATCAGGGGGATGAAGGCAAAATGACATCGAAGTTGCACATTGATGTAATTTCAAGATCTGCCTCGAACCTGCTGAAAACAAGCTCAAATCCACTCTGTTGCTCTATAGAAATAAAACAAGTGGTATTAAAGTACATTTCATATAAAAAGTAAACTGAGAACATGGTTATGTTTTTATATATTACTGGAACCACTTGGTCTCTTGGGAATTTATTATACTAGATGTTATTTCAAAATAAATTCTGGAGAATTGTACATAGCTCTTTTGAAAATGCAAATGCAAATAGAATGCAAAAAGCCTTCACCAAATGACATCAACAGCACTTGTCTATGACTGATGAATGAGGAAATGAACAAAACTCTGTGGCCTGCCATCAGAGGCAATATCACTCATAGAAGCTATAATAAACTGATTCTATATTTCCTATCTTTTAAAAAATAAGCACAAATGTAATACAGTTGCAAGAGAAGAAAGACTATTTGCTTTCTACCTCATCTGGCCCTTTAGGCAATTTAAACTGACTGTATTTGTACCATCGATTGAATAATACTATTTAAAAGCAAAAGTCTATAACTGACAACAGCAACAAAACAGAAGAAGAGAACTTGTTTTTCTGGCTGCCAGTGTTTAGGAAACTCTACATGGCTCATGTTTTTAACAACGCTACTGAGAAAATGAATGTAACCTGAGGGGCATGTTAGGAGAACTTTTATGAGCAGTTATTTGGCGTTTATAGTACTCTGGGTATTGCTGTTTATTTGCTTTTCACATCCATTTATTCTGCTTTAGCTGCTAGAGACACTGAGACAGATGCTTCAGAAATACCTAACAGCTTTTTACACTGAAGACTGGCAGCTGCTTTCACAAGGCCCACATTTAACATTCAAAATCTACTGTTACCAGAAGTTGCAAACCCCTTAAATCAGGGTCAAATTTTGCCATAAAAATAAGGAGATCTAGCATGAAATACAGCTTACAAAAGCTAGCAGCATGAATCCCTGCTAAAGCCGCCACAGGTTAGTTCACTGGTTTTGCTTATCTGAACATGAAGCTGCTCCCAACATGAAGGGCCCATGTGGCAGTTGAGCTCTCATTGCACTTAGTTGTGGCCGTGAGGAAGCTTCATCCTGGCTCAAACCAGGACACTCGGTTTGCATACCAGAGTGAGACCCAATTTTGATTTCTTCTCCCTTTCTGGCCTTGTAATCCCATAGTTCAGTGTTGCAGTAGGATGTACAACATTGTCTCATGGCCACCTTCACAGCAGGGCACTGCACTCTCCCAGGAAGTTACACATGCAGAGCCCACAGCTTCAGATGAAGCGAGAAGGTAACGTGTGGTCTCCTGCTTCCTGGGCAAATGTTCAGAATAAGTGGCTACTTCATAAAAATAGATGGTCTGTGTTCCTGAATAAAAACACAGTTGCTGAACTTGGCATTAGATTCAGTGCTGCAACTGTGAGGTTGGCACGTGTGAGGGACATGACCTGAATATGGGCCAGCGGGGAATTTATAGACCTTCTTGTCTTATCTCTGAATTGCCAGACTCTAGCTAGTAACTCAATACCTGGCACTTTGGATTAGGGCATTTTAAACTTTGACAACACATCTGAGGACACCTCTATGGTCAAGCAGCTGGTGGTCTGCTTTCTTCAGTGTTTGCCTAACTTCTCTTTCACACATGAGAGTAGATACTGTGGTCTCACCAGAAATTATTTATTTCAGTTATCCTGGGAAGGCAAAAGGGTTGCTTGGAATTAAACTTGGGTCTCCTGAAATGTGATCTGATTCCTTATCTTCTGGATAAGGTTTCTCTGTACTGGTTAATATATTTATCATCATGCCCAAGGATGACAAGCCCATGTCCTCGCTCTTATGGTCAACAAAGGAAGAAGATAAAAAGGATGGTGGCTTAACAGGAATCCTCAGGACTAGGAGCATATTTCAAACAAATTATTAGAAATTATTTAGAAACACTTGGGCAGCACAAGGGGCATTGCTGCTGAAAGAGACATTGTGAGGATTCAATCTAAACATTCTTCTAAATCATAACGATACTTACTTGAGAGGAGAGAGAAGGATATTGCACTCAACTTTGCAAACTGACCTGTAGATAACAAAGGATAGAAAACAAGAAGATGACAAATTAAGCCAGTGAGCAGCCAGGCAGTGTATTATTCTGAAGAAAGCCATGCACAAGCCTAGAAGTAAAGGGAGAAACTAAGGATCCAGAAAATAAACTCAACAAAAATTGTCTTACACAACACATCCAGAAAAAAACTGCAACAAGAACACAACTGGTAGCAGATGTGGGAGGACAAGCATTGTTAGCATTTATACTTGTGCACTAAATGTGTTTTATTCTGGTACAGATATTTGTTATTTACAACATGCTTCAAAAAAAGAGAGAGAAAGAAGTCTCCTTTAAGGTTCCCTGTCCCAGATTTCCTTGTGTACCTTGGGTTTTCTGTGCATACTTTAACACTAATTTAGAGCCTAGTTTGAAAATCTTGCTCAGAGACAAGGTGACACGAAGTAACAATAGTGGGTTTTGATCAACCCTCTTCCATGCCACACTACAACTACACATTTTTCTAAGTGAGTTGCTTTTACACCAAGGGAGATATTTAATAGCATAAAAATGGTTACCATATTTTTACTGAGGTTACCATTCTGTCACCTCAGTAGGAGTTCCTCCTCACAGATTTTTTCAGCTGACAATTGCATTACAGTAGCTACAGCCACCAGCTTTGCGTGGCTACACAGTTGAATGCAGTGTATTTGTGAGTAAAAGTAGTAGAAGAGCTGGTAATAAATTCCAATGGTTGCATGCAAAATGAGAATATTTGACCTGGCCACTGGTCAAAAGTATACCCTAACCTGAAGTCTCCCAATTTTCCTTTGTTTTGGCAAGTAAAAAGGATGTTGTGTCTTTATCTTTATAGACTACTCAGTGATACTTATAGAAAAAGGCATCAAATAGCAAAATACCACGAATTAACAGCAAAGTGCAGAGAATGAGTCAAAGCCAAAGCACATGTCTCAGGACCAACACATAACACTATCCAACCACCTCCTCATCTTCCAGGAGGTCCTGGAATGGGTAATACCCATTCTTGCTTGCTTTAAACCAGTTCCCTAATTGAAAGGCCATTAGCTGTGCTAGGAAGGACTTATCACAAATTACATGCTTTGGATCTGTGGTCATCAACTACAAATAGTTTCTTCCTACAAGTCACTATTGTCAAATCATTGCCTGATAGGAGTCGACAATCTCACAGACAGTAAAGTACATCACAAAAATGCTCTTGAAAAACTGCTATTAAACACAACTTGTCTAGAATGAGGACTTTCTGTTCCCTCAGTGAACAGGTTTTTGAAAGAAAGAAGCATTTTTTGTTGTTTGTTTGTTTGTTTTCCCCAGTGGAAACAAATTGTGTAAAACAATAGGGAAGAAAGTTCACCTGGGTGTAGTGTTGGCTGACTTAAATTCAAAAGGAGTTTTATTCTGACATCTACAGGGAGATTCCCTCCTGTTCTGGGAATGTTGTTGAAATAGAGTAGAAAAGCTCTATTTTGACTTCAGCAAGAGGAACACTCAGTTCTAGAGAGGGACATGTGTAACTTCTACTACACAACAAATGCCTTTATTTTGCAGTGCACATGCATACTCAAGTTTGTGCATGTACAAAGTCTCCTTGTCACTTGTGAAACTCACGTGACACTGTTGCCATATACTGCGCTTCCATATTATAATCAAAATACAGTCAGAATGGTCCATCATTCTTTCTGGAGAAAGTGGAATTTTTACCAGCAATAACAAGATTTATTTTTTGAGTCTTGACAACTGGGACCTCTGAGGTATTATGTCTTTATAACTGACAATTATTTTCCATTACATCACCTGTAGCTGCTCATTCTGTTCCGAAGCAAAGGCTGTCATTTTTGCCACTTCCTACTGTAAATAAAAAAATGACCAAAAAGCCCATGTCACCTACTGTTGCCTTAGTAGATAGTCTAGAACAATTCTGCTCCTGTTGTCATGTCCTTAAAGACCTTTGCAATGAAATTACTTTTGGCAGGCTACCATGGACACGTAGCAGACCTACATAAACAATAAATGCAACAACAAATGTTCACATCAACCTCAAAACTACCTGCAATTTCAATATGAGTTGATGACCTTTTACAAGACTAACTTGGCCTAGCAGCTTTACAGAAAAGAAGACTAAAAGAGCAGTCAGTCTTCATTAGATCACGAGTCTGTCAGTCCCAGATTGTTTTCTCCAAAGTGACTGGAAGTGGGTACTAGATAAAAACTACCTGTAAAGAAGGCTAGAATTCATCAGCTCTCAGCAAGCAGCAGTTTAAAGAATTCCTGCCAAGAAGGTGCTTTTGAACCTCATTTCCATACAGTACCTGCTTAATCCTTTTTATTAGCCCATTTATACTTTTGGTCTCTGTTATATCCTGTAGTGATGAGTTTCAAATTTTCATTGATCACCATGTTGGAAAATAGTGATTTTTGCTTGCTTCAGCTCTGCTCCCAAATAACCAAACTGGGTGTGCCCTCCTATTGACATTAATACCAACATTATAAGAAGCAATGAATATTATATTAGGATGATTCAAGTCAGAATAACTTAAAAACTGGTGATAGTCCATTACACAAGGTAGAAGTGCAGGCAGTTACACAGACAAGACAGGATATCTACAGAATTCCAGCTCCCCCTGACAAATGTGCTTTACCCAGACTCCTAAACAAATGCCCTTTCAAAACTTTCTCAGGGTTTTTAATGACAAATCCCCAGGCTTCTCTACACTAGATGCTTGTTGAATACTTGGTCCTCTGGGGTACAATTAATTTCAGATCCTTCCCTCTCCTTCCAGATTCTGACAATGACAATACCACAAAGACTGCAGGTGAGCTTCAGTTCACCCCTGTGAAACTATTATGAATGTTTTTTGCTACTAGAGAAAAAAAAATAATCTAAATATAGCAAGAACTCAGCTTGACAGCACCAACCAGCTTGTGAAGTACAGGGGAATGAGGTCTAAGTGACTTGGCAGGCACCAGCAGAGAACATACTCAGAGGCCATTCTGTCCCACCTGATGCCCTGTTAAGCTGAAGTACTACTGTTGAGTGTGGTCTTCCTGGAAATGCACAAAGACTAGATGCATGTGTGTCTGTGGAAGAGAGTAACAGCAGTTTTTGGAATACGGCTGCTCTAGGAACTGAGAAGAGGCCACATCCCATGGCCCAGAACAGGTCAAGAAGGGCACTGAACAGCTATGGCACATTATTGTTTCTCAGTTATGGAGATGTAAGGGCTTCTCATGTCCTTTTCCCACCTGGTACGCCTCATCCTGCAGCTTCTGCTTCAGGTACTCCTCCATTTTCAGTTCATTCTCCAGCTGGCGAACCGAGTCATTCTCATAGTTTTCATCATCTGCTCTGACATAGGGGTCTCCATCTTCTGTAACCCTAAATACAATTATTAATAAATAGCCTCCTCAGATGAATGATAAAGAGAGTCAATAAAACTTCCCCTTATTTACGCTATGAGGAGTGTGGGATAATTCTAGTCCAGCCAATGTCCCATTGGCTAGTATTTTCCTGGCAGTGGAAAACACTTCTGCTGTTTCCCCTCTTCAGTGGTCTGGTTTGATGAAGTAGACCACAGGGCATACTATGCTGAAGGCATTTTTGGGGTACAGCCCTATGACAACAAGAAACTAAAGTTCTCAGTAACTTGATACAAAGAGGTTGAATGAAAAACAACTTGAAAGATGCTTATTGTCTTTGACAAGAATATACAGGTTCAAAAAATAAATTGGTTTGTTGATCCATTTGAGTTGGTCAATAAAAATCATTCTGTCTTTTCCATTTAAAAAAAATATCTTTTTCTAGTCGGCTCCAACAGACCAGTCAGTCTGGATAAACAGGGGACAGGACTGCAGGGCATGAGGGAGCACAGCTGTCCCACAGCCTCCACGCTGCCCGAGTGCACCTGACTGGATGCAAGACCACCCACTCCTGGGGTCATCTAAGCTTTATTGTTTCCAGAGCTCACTACCATCTACCATGAAGCTGTCCTCACTTGGATGTAGGCATTTTTTTTTTGGTAATCAAATAGTTGAGAGGGAGGGAAAATACAACATGCTGCACGTTGTTCTCAACAGAAAAAGAGTGAGACGAAGCAGGTATTGAGCAGGTACCCACATGTCGCTGCGGATGGAGCCGGTGGCAGCGGCGCTGTGGATGTACCCGGGTTTCCGCGCGTGGATCTGGGCGAGAAAAGCCTTCTCAGATGTTGGGGATGGAACGAGGTCATCAAAATGAGTCCGTCCAAATTCTGAGTCCACATTGCTTTCTGTCTCACTGCCCACTTCTGTGAAGCAAAAGGTGACACACGGTTCCATTTAACTTTCACAAGTGTACTTGCTTATTTCTCTAAGCCTTTCTCTGCCTTTCCAACTTGGAATGGCACCTCCTCAGAGTGAGTAACAGTATACTATTCTACATGTATCTTCAGAGCTTATAGTTTTTTTACTGTGGTGGAAGAGAATCATAGAATCATAGAATCCTAGGGGTTGGAAGTGACCTCAAAAGATCATCTAGTCCAACCCCCCCTGCCAGAGAAGGGTCACCTAGAGCACATCACACAGGAACGCATCCAGGTGGGTTTTGAATGTCTCCAGTGAAGGAGACTCCACAACCTCCCTGGGCAGCCTGTTCCAGTGCTCTGTCACTCTCACAGTAAAAAAGTTTTTCCAGATATTCACCTTGAACCTCCTACACTCCAATTTGCACCCATTACCCCTTGTCCTATCACTGGACATCACTGAGAAAAGCCTAACTCCATCTCCCTGACACTCACCCCTTACATATTTGTAAACATGGATGAGGTCACCCCTCAGTCTCCTTTTCTCCAAGCTAAAGAGACCCAGCTCCCTCAGCCTTTCCTCATCAGGGAGATGTTCCACTCCCTTAATCACCTTTGTCACTCTGCACTGGACTCTCTCAAGCAGTTCCCTGTCCTTCTTGAACTGAGGGGCCCAGAACTGGACACAATACTCCAGATGTGGCCTCACCAATGCAGAGTAGAGGGGGAGGAGAACCTCTCTTGACCGACTAACTACACCCTTTCTAATGCACCCCAGGATGCCATTGGCCTTCTTGGCCACAAGGGCACAAGGGAACAGTGAAGCTTTTGCTTGTCTGGGTTATTACGTAGGTTATATTTAGGAAAATACTACAGACTACATTTTATATCAGGTCCTGTGTTTTCTATACTGAATGAAATTTCTAAAGAGCAAAAATCCCCATGGACTCACAAAGAAACTTCTCAAAGTTTTTACTGTATCCAGCTGCACCTCTATGCCCATGGCTCTCAGAACTGAAGACATTATTCAAGGATTTTTTTTTTTCTAAAAGCATAAAAAGCTTTGAAGATATATTACATTGCTTTCTTGTTGGTTTATATTTTCCTGCTTCCCATTTTTTCAAATACATGTCAAATGTCAATGTGGTGACTATCTGCTCTCATTAGCCTCACTCACCAGAATTTAGTTCTTTTACCAAAGAAGACATGGTGTTGGTGATTGAATCTGCTGCCACCAGCAAATCATTTCTTAAGTTCCGTCTTGCACCTGAAGCAAGAGACAGACAAAGCACAGTGTTAATATTCTTCACAAGACATATGTTTTCCTGTTGAAAGCAGTTTAAGCCTTGCTGAAAGCTGCCATTTGATTCAGGGTATCAAAGTCCTTACGAGTGACACGTGCAGGAGAGTTGTCTGCAGAATGGCCTCATTTACTTATGCTGTATGCAAAAGCAGAAGCCTACTCTCACGCTTCATTTAATCACAATGCCAGATATGTGGAGATTATTCATTGCCATCAAGATTGCATTTGTCTGGTGACACCAGCAGAAAGATTAAATCCAGCATGAACTCATTTAAAATGTCTGTGGGGGAGGAGGGAAGAAATTAAGTGTTTTCTATGAGTTCCCACAGCTCTGTTCAATGACACCACTATTGCCAGGTATTTGCCAGATAATTATGGCAAATGTTGAAGAAACACACTTAACCTCATCAAGACCAATATGGATTTTTCTTTTTTGCTGCCTCTCAGCCTCTCCTGTAGCTCAAGGACTTTCTTGTATATTCTGTAATTTACTTGCTCTCGCTTTCTTTTTTTTTTTTTTTTAATAAAAGAAGCACTATTGCATCTCTAAACAGCCCCAGGCTGCTTTTAAACTCTTTCTAATAATGGATCTAGAAGTGCTTCCCTGCTGAACCTGGCGATATTCCCTTAGCCATCAATCATGAAAGGCTCTTGTGAGTTGCATGAAATACTCCTTCCCTAGGCTGTGGGTAATACGTGCTTAGCTCCCTCAAATCCCAAACCTAACTCCTATTGTAGCTGAATAATCAATATCCCACATACCCCATAGAATCTCTAATCTTCCAGACAGGCAGGATTTGACTGCTGTAGATTCTTTAAAACTAGCTGCATGTAAACCAATAAGTTGAAAAAAATTCCCCAAATCCTAGGCAGGTGTTTTGAATATATACATATACAGGCTGCCCAGGGAGGTGGTGGAGTCACCATCCCAGGAAGTGTTTAAAAGAAATACAGATATAGTGCTTAACAATGTGATCTAAGCACTGAATGGGTAGATCAGGTTATAGTAGGGGGATTTAGGTTATGGTTGGACTTGATGGTCTTCAAGGTCCTTTTCCAGCCAGGATGATTCTATGATTCTATGGTTACTGGAATGTAAAGTAATCTCTCTTACACACACACACTCAGACAGCCACTCCTTCTCTGTAGCCTTCTTAATTTTCTATCTCTGAACTTTTTGCTATAAAAGAGGGGGGAAGAAAGCACAAAAGAAGCAGGGCTTTCACCATGGCTTGTCTGCATTAGGTATTTCCAGGCAGATCTCTGTTGGTGCAGCACAGGATGGAGCCGCAGCCACTCAGCCCAGCCCTCCACTCACGAAGCCGTACGTCAAGATGTGGCAGAAGGGCTGGCTTCAAGTTCTTTGGGTTTGATCTTCCCATCCAGAGAATATGGTAAATAATGACATAAAGGTAGACACTTATCAAATGCAGCAGTTTTAAAATGTGATTTCTTACATTTTTATGTTGCTTTTTCTCTTGAACAGAACACATTTATACAATTAAAGTGCATTTGCCTGAGGCACCCTTAGTATAATTTATGGATATTTTCTTGTGGCCACTACATTATTTCTCTTACTCTTAACTCTGGAAGAAATTGTCCACAGGGGTTAGTGGTCCATGTTTTTGACTGTCTTGATTTTTTTCATAGTAGAAATAAGAAAAAGGTATCTTGCTTGTTTCTTTTGCCACAGAAAATGAGATATCCAGCAACCTGGTATGTTTGGACTAGGAATTATGCCCTGGTAAAACATGTTCAATACCTGAATTGACTAGCACTTTAGTAGAAAGTTCTCAATTGCATTCCAGATTCATTCTTGTTGTAAGATACACAGACACAATAGCCATGAAAGTCAAGAGGAAAGGTGCATGAGAAGGCTGAACTGGGCTCTTAGGAACAAATGTGCTTCTGATGTAGTAGAGGAACTCCAGAGCTGCCCTTACATTTCATTTGTACTAGTGGAACAGGGCAAATGTATTAAAATAAAAATAACTGCAGTGATGTAAATGTTTTAGAAAAGAGCAGATTAGAAAAAGGAGTATTTCTTTATTCAGATCACACAGACTATTTATTTTCCTTCATATTGAATATAAACATTTAATCTGTGGCATTCGAAATTAAAAATATTTTATATTTATTGTGGGAAGTGGAATGAAGAACACTGTGCAGCCTATGCCAGTTTTCTGGAAACGGAAAGGATTTGCCTGGACTACCAGGCTTGATTCCTGTCTAGTCTAGCCAGACCCCTTCCCAGAGGACCAGAGCAAAAGGACAAGGGACAACAGCCACAGGTGCATTAAGGGACATTCCAATCGGACACAAGGACAAAAAATTCCCACAGTAAGTGTAGTCAAATGCAGGAACAGAGGCTGTGGAAAGTGCATGCCAGGAGCCATTCAGAACTCAACTGGCTACAGTCTTGAATGACCTGGTCTCACTTTGAAGCTGGCTTTCTTGGAGCAGGAGGACATGGTGACTTAAGAGAGCCCTTTCTCCCTGAACTGATTCTGTGATTGTATCATCTACTCCTAGTGAAGTCTTTTAAACCAAACACATTGACAATGCCTTGCTGAAGTCAACAGTAATTCTGGTTAACAGAGTACTGATAACTGGTCTGGCCATCTTGCATCAAAATTCCCCCTTACCACAAAACCTATGAACTGGCATCATTGTCCAGTTTCTGCTTCCCTGCTCACTTCGACAGCCAAGTCTGATGGCTGACAATGTTATTTTCAATGGTTAAACACAACTGTTGCAGCTTTTTGTTTTGTTTTGCTTCACTGCACGCAGCTCAGAACCTCGAGTTCATTTAGTCATAAACCACAAGAAATAACAATCCTTCAAACGGTCTCCCAGTACCTCAGACAAGCAACTGCTGAGACTTACTCTGTGCAAAGGCTTCCTGCACATCTCCTCCCACTCCGGTCAGGGAGTCCTGCGGCGCGTGGGTGGGGGTGGAGCAGGCAGAGGCAGACCTGATGGGCATGGGAATCGGTCGGCTGATCGTGTGGCTGGGTGAGGAACGTGGGGAGCCTGCCCCTTGGGTCTGCAAAACAATCACGAGGGGTGAGACTGGTCTTGGCAGAAGCCCTTGTCTGCTGTCCTTGTCACCCATGCCTCAGCTTAAAGGCATCGTGCTGTTCGCACATCAGCTGGATAATGTTAATTTTGCTAAGGGAAATGTACTGAAGTCAGTTGTTAGTGGACAGCAAGGCTTCCCATGTAGAAAAACTGTAAGTAGGAAAATATGAGTCAATACCTACTGCCCTGAAGCATGGGAAAATGTCAGGCAGCTAAAATAAATAAAATTCAAGCTAATAAGCACCAAAACACAGACCTTCTCTCTGCCTTCTTCCCTCTCTCACTCCCCCACTTCACATGCATGTCTGTTAAAACATAACCCAGCCAGGCTGTCAGGATGGGAAAGATGTTGGCCACTGACGTGGCTTTCAGCCAGGACAAAGGACTGAAACAAACCCTTTCCTTGGAGCCCTGCCGTGAGAGCTGATCACATCCCTGCCCTCCACCTCCCTGCAGGAGAAGTTCATGGTACTTGCAATTTCTCAGTCACATAAAGTCTGACATTTTCAATAAATAATACAAGCTTTGTGATTTTTCTTCAGGGCTAGAGAACTATTTTAAGCCACTATTAAATCATATACTACTAAAATCCTTGGCTGTACAGGATATACTCAGGCACTCCCAAAACACTGTGGGGATAGGGCAATATAAACTCCTGCTATGGGTTCAGCTGCTGGAAGTGAAAATGTTTTAACACCAGTCATATAAAATGTCATGCTGTTAGCACCTTGCAGTTAGTATCACTTAGTTGAAATTCAAGCAGACTTTACAAAAGTAGTTTTTCACAAATGCAGCTGGGTGAGAAATACCAAGAAACTCAGTGCCCTTTTCCTCCACTGTTTCAAAATTTCAGGAAATGTATCCAGGTAAGAAAAAACAAATGCTGGAGCCCACACCAAACTAAACGTGGCGTTGGACTGAAAACCTGTGTGTGGTAGATGGTAGGTGGCTTGAGTGCTGTTGGGGAACTGCAACACATGTGCTTGGTTGTTCACAGTGAAAAGTAACCTGAGGGCTGGTGTTTTCCTCACCCTGCCTTTATTTTGAGAATTCAGGAGGATTCCTTAACTCTTCCCATGGCATTTATTTTGAATTCTGTAGTGGCTACCACTGCACCCCTGATATGCTTTGGCAAATATGTTCTAAAAAAGATAACAGCAGCCCATTGCAGGAGGAGTGCAGTATTGCCCTTGAGATTTTTATAAATTCCTGCCCTGGACCATAAATCAAGTATCAGAATACTACTTGTTCTTTTCTTCTATCACCCCTTTCTAAGAGACATGAACACCAGAAAGACATCAAGGGCAAATTAGGTTTATGAGGAATAAGCACATTACTGATGGGAGAATGGAAGATTTAATACTTGTAATTTCTTTAATGATTGGTTTTAGAATATTTTAATGAACAATGAAAAGGAAATTGCATATATAAAGGCCAGATGCTCATCTATGAATGAGTTTCTGGTTCCCAGCTCCTTTTTTCGTTTGCCCTTTTTCCTGAGCTCCCCTTTGCCTTTAATCTTGGTTCTGTGGAACACCAAGAACAGCGGGAACTTTCAGAGAAGCTGAGAAAAAAAAAGGACAAAATTTGCTTCTTATAGTCAAGTTACATTAGTCACATTTAGGGAATGAACTTCAGAACAGGCATTTTATTTACTAAAAATAACAGATGCCTGCCAGTACTTCTTCGCTGGTATTTTCCCACAGGAGAAATGTAAAAGCTGCTGCACACCAGTGCTCACCCTTGTGTGCTTTGCAGCCATGACTGAGTTATTGTGTTCGTGATAAACAGTGCTCTCTTATCTGTAGCTTCTGGTGTTGGAACAAACTATTTGGGAAGCAGAGAGTAATGAAGCATTTGGAGTCCCCTGTCTGGTGAAAAACTCTCTTTTTATACTATTTGGGTAGTATCAGACAGAATTTATTGAACAGAAAGTGTAAATAGGAGGATATTAAGGAATGCCTGATTTCAGAGAAGTGAACAGTGTAATTATAATTTACTCACCCAGATCCACCTCAGCGCAAGTTTGTGAGAATGCAGTGCTACTAGGATGGCATTCCT